GAAGCAGTCTCTCAGCAATGTGTCCTCCAAGTGTAAGAGCGGTCATTCGAAGCACAGTTATTTATCCTGGTGATGCGGTACTTGTCCACATGACTGGTCGTAAATGCGGTATGGCATTCCGCATGGGCCATGTAGTCCGTGTCTTCTCCCCTAGGCGTGTTCAAGTCCGATTTCCTGGTGGCGTGCTGACTTACGAGAACGCATTCAACTTGGTCATCTTACGTCCTTTCCCAAGGCTTGACCCCAATATTCCTGTGGTGTCACGTGAAGGACTCCGCCTACGAGTGCAGGATGACCAAAAGGTTGATCAGTGGCGGTCTGGTGTCGTCACTTACGATCCTTGTGATGTTGGTGACGACCGGGTCTGGATACAATTTGACAACGGTGATACTCCGGAGTTCATATCTCTTGGCACTCGTCGATGGCAGCTCTCAGACGAAGAGACAAACAACAAGGCCGATATCAATGATTATGCTCGCGTGTCCTCGCAAGGGGGGCGTGATGAGACCGAAGATTGTCTCATAGAAGAACCACTTCCCTCTCGTGTCGGGATGCGTATCTCTGTTGCCACTGGTATATCTGCCGGCCTCCGTCGTCCCCGTCGTTACTGGTCCTCAGGCCGAGTTTGTGGCGTGCGCAGGTCTGGCGCCCTAGATATCTTATGGGACGGCTCCGAAACGGCTGGCTGTGAAACTATCCGAGTTGATGATACTGAAGTCAAAGTGTTGCGATGATTTGCATGATTTGTCCCGTATATATACCGTAGCCATCTGGCTCAAGATCTCAGTTGGGCTTTTGTGTTACCCAATTAGGATCTAACAGTTGTTGTTGTTGTTGTTGGTAAAAGTATCATCATTATCATCATCCTAGTATCATCATCCATCACCCTCACTATAGCATTCAACACTGGTCTGCCCTCGATGTATGGTTATTGATAAATCAATCGATTCTATGCGGCGGCGAAGTGGTAGTAGGACTAGATACCATCATAACATCATCATCATGTATAGTATTATATAGAAGACCATGGGAAGTATCAGTAGTACTACTAGGGATACCATCAGCGTTTGATGGATGTGGTATAACCATCATAACATCATCATCATCCTGCTCATCATTATCATAATGATGATGGTGTCCATGTAATATAGGAGGGGGATATGTTGATGGTACTACTACCATAGGCATACTACTACCTACTACTACTATCATCATCATTGGTAACCTACTATCATTAGTATATCACCATCATAAGCAGCAGCAGCAGGTTGATCCCTATAATATCCTCCTATTTGATATGGTCTTACTATATGTGGCACTCCATTAGGAGGAGGAGAAGGTAATATGGATGATGATGATGGGGGCCATCTTGTCGTCCCCTTTCGTGGAGCAATAACCCTCAATACTGTACGACCAACCTAATATAATGTATCATGACCATCATCATGACCATCATCATCACTACTATTACTTGTACAGCTATTGAACCCGATGGTGGTATCTTGAGCCCTTGAGATGGTATTGATAATAATGTACCAAACTTAGAATACAGATCCTACTAATAATTATAATACAGGAGGATGCCTAGTTATAATAGATTACCTGTATATAGAATTGACCATTGTGATATCGTAATAAACAATGCTTTCTGGATATAGATACCTATAAGATGATGATGACATCTATGACTACTCCTGTTGTTGTTATTGTTATAGTATTATTACATCAGATATTCTAACATCACTATCGTGCCCTCGCCTATAATAATACCATCAACATCAGCCGTTTTATTATTATTATTAT